CAGTGCTGGCTCATGGTCATCCTGCTGGCCACCAGGACCCCCAGGTCCCTTTCCCCTACACTGCTCTCCAACAGGTCATTTAAATGTTGATTTTATAGCTGAACAATTCTTGCTGATTCTTCTGGCTGATAGGTGCTCTGAGCCTTACTCAAGCAGCCCGGATACAACGTCTTTTGGTTTGTAGCACTTCCCTCTCTGCATCCTCCAGGTTACTCCTAACAAATGGAGGCTGCTTCTGATTTCTTTGTGAATAAAGCTGTGTAAATGGAACCCAGCATGGATTTAATCCAGGGTAATAGTGAGAACATGTATTATCTGTGAGCACAGAGTCTGATCAGAGGGAAACCAGCTGAGCTGGCATCCCTGTGCCCAGAGAGATCCCCACACTTCTGAAATCTCAGATGTTACAGAAAGCCTGGACTGACTTGTGTTGAGGGGCTGCAGACATCAGAGCCAGAAGTGTAGTTGCACAATGAAATGTGTTTTATTCACTGTATGGAGAGTCTTTGTCTTAAAGTAAATTCTTTAAATATTACAGAAGCTGAGCATCTATGGAGATCTGGAATACATGAACGAACAGAAACTGAACAGATACCCATCCTCTGCACTTGTTGTGGTTCGATGCAAGACTGAGGAACATGAGGAAGCAGGACCTCTTCCTACAAAAGTCAATCTGGATCAATCAGCAATTTAAGTTTCCACTGGATCCGATAGACTTAACTCGAACAGAGCTAGCAACCCCTGATTGTTTGTGGTGGTTCTTCAGATAAGAAGTCAGTCTTTAAATACAAATAACTTTACAGAATCAACAAATGTCATGGGATTTTGTTTTCAACTGGTAGTGAAGATTCAAACATCTTGAATTTATGTTTGTTTCCAGACATAATCACTTCTCACTGGTGTTTGCTATGTGTCTTTCCGCTTACAAAAGCTGTAAGCGTGCTTTCCATGCTTCTGCCATGACACTTCCAAATTTATTTGTGTGTTCTAGGATGTAATGTGTACATTCAGAGTTAGCTTTGTAAAGGTACAAGAAATTTTAAGTAGGCAGGAGAAGATGCCTGTTTAGTGTTGCACTTTCTGTTGTAGTTAAGAGAAAATATTATTAAATTACCTGCTGAATTTTTGTACTTGTTGATGTCCATGCACAAACAGCCCTGTCTCCAAAAATAGAAATCTATTTTTTCTACAGTGTGACAGTATCCAAGATAGAAAGCGTTTGCGAGGTACTGTAGGTTAGAACCCTGTTTGTGAAAGATGGAAACTGTTCAAGCTTATGGCCATAGCCCTTCACACACAGAACACAACGTGGTCAATTATTTTAGCCTTTAAGTCTTAAATTGCTTGTAAAGTTAGCACATGTGTTTTCTGAAGAAATTCTACTTTCTGTTCTTGATTAACTATTCTAGCCTTGTAACTTCATTTACAGAAACAAGTTGATTCCTGAGAAATGAGAACAGCCAAATAAAATCGACTGTCTAGAAAACGTTGACTGCATAGCTTTTTGCAGCAGTTAAATTATTGACGTGTTCAGTGTGAGAGCCTGTCTGTAGCGTTCCTCTCGTGGGCAACGTGACCTGATTTTGCTGTATGATTCACTAGCACAACAACAACTAACGATGTCCCTCACATTTCTAATATTTCTTGTGGCTCTTTCCTTTGAGGAGATTCCTAGTTGCTGGTTCCCATAGCACTGGCAAGTCGGGGGCATATGTGATTGATTTTAAGGTCTCTGTGAGTGTTTGAATGCCGGCTAGAGCGCGTGATCTCCAACACAGCGTCGTCTTTTGTTGATGATGCAGAACTCCCTTGAAAGTTTAAACGGAAAACAAAACCAGACAACACCTCTGCAGGTTTTGAGTTCTGCTGGGAACCGTAGAGCTGGTGGAGGATGCAGTGGTGTGTTCCCTCCTGTTAAAACCGGTTCA